GTGGGCCTTGGTGCTCTGCTCCCTGACAGGAAAGGAACTGTTTATGACTGCAGCCCATGCCACCTGCTCAGCTATCAAGTGCACATTTGTTCTCTTGGGAACACAGGGTGGGGTCGTTACTAGAAACAGGGCTAAGAGCCAGCAGTGCTCCACTTCCAAATTCTGGCTGACTCCTACAGTGACCTCTGTCTGGTCCCCTCAATAAAACCAACCACTGCTTATTTAAAACTGGAGCCAGATAGGCAGTGCCTTGGGAAATAGCCACACTTCACTGGGATTTCTTTGGCACCGAAGGCACTCAAAATTACCCTTGTCATCAACAAATATTTATTGGGCATCTTCTATTAACATGCAATCAATGAGTCAAAGACACGTACCATGTCTGCGTTTACAGGATATGCTTCTAAAAGATGAGTGCATTAGAAAGGGATTATTTTTTATTGTTTTGTGAAGCATGGTTTTTTAAAAGTATTTATGTAAATTAATCCATAGAACCAAGATTTCTGTAATTGAATTCATCCCATAGTAGCTGATTATTTGGTGTTGTCTATGCTCCATAAAATTAATTTTTTTTTTTTTTTTTTTGACAGGCAGTTCACAAAATCCCCTCCACATAAAGAATCAGAAGGGTTATATACAAAATAAATTATTTTTTTGTTTTTATTAAAGCCGGCGCGCTGCGGCCGGCGCACCGCGCTGATCCGATGGCAGGAGCCAGGATTATGGGTATGTAATGACAAAATACTCTCTGTGTCCTCTACATGCTAAAAGATGAGTGCATTAGAAAGGGATTATTTTTTATTGTTTTGTGAAGCATGGACCGGGACAGAATCCGGCGCCCCGACCGGGACTAGAACCCGGTGTGCCGGCGCCGCTAGGCGGAGGATTAGCCTAGTGAGCCGCGGCGCCGGCCCATAAAATTAATTTTAAAGACAAACGTTAGTGACAAAACAGTTCACAAAATCCCCTCCACATAAAGAATCAGAAGGGTTATATACAAAATAAATTATTTTTTTGTTTTTATTAAAACAGAGTGAAAGGACTCTGTCCTCAGCACCCTATGTGTGCGTGGTTGGAACATTATGGGTATGTGATGACAAAATATTCTCTGTGTCCTGTACATGGGCGACATCCCATAGCAACAGTGGTTCTCCGTAAACAGCCCAGGAGCCGAACGTCCCCCACAGCAGAATCCGCTGGCAGCTGCCCAGCTTGAATGTTTTTGTACTATCCTTGACTTCTACAGTTGGCAGAGAAAGAAAAAAAAAAGCCAATTCTAGAAACTAGAGCTGTTGGATGGATGGACGGGTGTCCAGAAATGGAGGGTGAGAGAAGAGAGTGTTTCTCTTATATTTTGTTAAGCATTGGGAGCAATTATAGGATCACTGGAAAGATTTCAAGTGTTTTAGACACACAAAAGCCAACAAAGTCTCCTGGTATTTTAAAACCAAAATCACCAAGCTTAGTCTCCTTGTAAGAACCTTAGTGTCACTTCAGGACCCAGGAGAGACAAACGCCGCAGGCATCCCTACCAAACCTTAGAGGCTGTTAAAAACTCCACTCAAGGGAGCTCTTACTGTAAGAGGCTGACCTATGTTGCACCTGAGCCCTGCCACTCTTGCTAAGGAGGCTCTGGACAGCAGTACTCAGCCCTAGCTCCACCCACGTTCTTCTGGGCCCACCTGTTGCTGGAGGAGTCCTGGTTTCCTTAAATTTTCGGTGAAGTTAGCTCGAGTTGAACAGGGGAGAGGGCAGAAGCACGTGACATGAAAGCACACTATTGGTGGAAGTCTCTGTTGGCTGCTTAGCAGCTCACTTTTCTGTGAGTTAGATGAGTCAGTTCCCTGTTCTAAGAATCAATCCACTAAATTATTTTTCATCACACATGCCTTATTAGTGATAGCTTCAGGCAAAGCAGCCAAGAGACGAACCAAGACGACGTTTGTCTGGGGAAACTAGACTTTTCTAATCTACTTTCAGGGATGCACATTGGTTATTTGGGAGTCTCCACACTCTGCCCTAACATGCAAAGTTCTGTCTTCCTAGTGTTGCGCATGTGACAATATTGTCTACGTGTCATCAAGTCCCAGTCAGCTTGATGGAACTGGAGTAACTTGGGCTGTCACAACAAAACAGCACAGACTTTGGTGGTTTTAATGACAGAAATTTATTCACTGTTGAAGAGGTGAAAAATCCAAGGTAATGGTGCCAGTAGGACTGGTTTCTGGTGAGGCCCCACTTCTTGGGTTGCAGATGAGTACATTCTCTCTGGGCTCTCGCATGACTTTTTATCTGTGGGTGCTCTGCAGTGGCGGGTAGGGTGAAAGGAGAAAGAGGCACACAGAAGGAGATAGAGAGATGTAGGCTCTCTTTCTCTTCCTTCCAAGACATCAGTCTTGTTGGGCATCAATTAACCTGAATTACCTTTTTCAGGGTCCTGTGAGGGCACTGTGTACACTGTCAAATTGGGAATTAGAGCTTCAGCAGGATTTTTTTTTTTTTTGGCAGGGGCAGGAACAATTCAGTCCATGGCAAATGATAAATATTGATTAGTACATATTAATCTGGATATGCACAGGGCATTCATATCATTCATATCATGTGTTAATAATACTAGGTAATCGTGTAGACTAAATTAATTGGAATTTAGCAGATACCAGTCCATGCCATAGACAAATGGAACAGGAGATGTTTCATAGTATTATTGTTAGTAGTTTTATTAGTAATATTAATATTAGTATTAGTATTAGTATTTTGCACATGGAAAAACTGATTTGGAATCTTGACTTTACCACCCATTGGTTATGGGAACTGGGGGCACTAGTTTATCCACTCTGAACCAAACATCTTTGCTATGAACGAGGGTTAATGCAAGGATTACATGGGGAATTTTAGTATAGCACCTGACATGTAATATACACTCAGACAAGGAACTGAGTAAATCAACACAATGATTTGTCATATAGTTATGCTAATATCAATATCAAAACTGAATTAAACTCATTAGCCAGTGGATATTTATCAGAATTCTCTGGTAAGTTAAATGTTTTATATTCTTCTGACTTCCAAGTTGGAATCTGGGGGACTGTATTCAAAGCAATGCTGTTTTCTGTGGTGATATCTAAGCACTCCAAGCCTTCTAACTTGTCTTGGGTTCAGATATTGGCACTAGTCACAATCTCCCAGTGGAGGCCAGGTACTCGGGTACCATTAGGAGGCAACACTAGGAGGGAAAGGTGCCAGTCCATGGGCAGCATATAGCTGGACACACTGATTATCTTTGAAGATGGTACCTACAAATCACCTTAGTTATGCCCTGGTTCACGTGTAGCCTGCTTAGGGTGAAAACACTACCCCCAAGCATAGAGCAGGGTTTGCTTATAAATGTGAGTGGAGATGGAGTTTCTGCTTTTAGCTATAAACCTTCTATTTTTTGGCAACAACAGCTTCAGGGTATTGTAGATCTTATGAGCAAAGCAGTAGGAGATTTTGTTGTAATTATTTTCTAATTACTGCTCCTCACATAGCATTTGACATTTATAAGCAATTCAGTTATTTCCTAAACTTGATTTTATGGATTTTTCTAGGTTTGGCATTGCCCTTGCTTCTTGGCACAGTATGCTGTTACTATTTTTAAAAATAGGCATGACAGTGAAGATACTGAAATGGAAATACAGAGCCAAAACAGGGTTTGCGTTCAACTGGAAGAACCTAGAAGCTGACATTCCAATGTCAGTGGGTTCTTCTACTCTTCTTTTCTACAACATAAGCTTTGCTTTTAAAACCTAAGTTGCTGCTATCACATTAAGCAGTATCAATTTAATTCCCATCACAGTGAATATTAATAAGTAATTTCACTTGCCTCCTAATGACTTTGTTCTTGCAAATATTCCTTTAAAATTATGCCAATCCAAACACTTATTTCCAATCTTCCTCTTAGAACATTGAGGAGCAAGAGAAATATTAGGTAAGAGAATGTTAGTTGTCATTAGATAAAAGGAATGAAAATATGTTATTAACTTCTAAGTTGCTGTTTTGGTCTAGAAGTCCATATTTGATTTCTCTCAGGCTAAACTTCATTTAACTTTCATCCTTCCAAGTGGCATAATTGTTTTCGTAGTAACTGTTCTATACCTATTTTTTCTTCTCCTATACCTAAAAAAGAAAATAATTTAAATAAGGACTGTATCTAAGCTTACAGGTTTCACACTCAGGGAATATACCTTCTAATGGGAAAAGGATAAGTATCAGATCCTTTGAAATATATACAGTGAAAATTTGGGCATTCTCTTTTTTTTTTTTTTGTAAGAGAGACCAAGAAAAATGCTGTCAACAATAATGTTAAATTCGGAAGTGTGAAGTTGTGCCAGCGGGTATTTTAGAGAGGCTGATGCTATACTTGGGAATTTGTCAGATACATCAATAACGTTTCATAGCACATTTGGCTGTGTGCAAAAAGCAGATACCGAATTTCTCCATCCCTCTTGGGGAATAAACACCCCCTATTTTGAAATGTATTGGGGTGACTTCCTCCATTCTCTTCTTCTGTTTATTTTTATGGGGCTCTTTAAGGAAGTACCTAAGCTGTTTTGAAAATATCATATCTTAGCTCACACCATGAGGGTTTGTTTACCACAGGAATATTAGTTGTGCTCCTAGAAATAATGAAAAAAAAATATTTCACCAGGGCAATTGGACAGCTAATCTTACTGGTTAAACCAGCTGCTGGCTGACTGCCAGTGGGTACAATGAAAAGATTCTCCAATTAGCTGTCCATTAAAAAGCCACTCAACTCTCTCTCCTATCACCTACCATGTTCCAGGGACTTTGGTGAGAACAAGGAGAAAGTGCGAGGGTAGCTGCTGATACATGGTTATGTCTGCGGTGAAAACATGCCCACCAAGAAAGACTTTCTGTTGTTCCTAAAGACTCAACACTTTGGTGTGCAGAAGGACCTCGGAGGATTATGACGTCTAGAAGAAGTTCTTGCAGAAGAACTCAGCCAAGTCGAATCAGATCCTAATTGCCATGTGTTTCCGCTGCCCCAGCGTCCTGTGGCCGTCTCTGATTCCTCTGCTGTGGCAGTTTGAGAGGCATTGTTCACACTTAGCTGTTTGTGGTCTGCCAACCATTGCCCAAACAGAAGAGGAGCAGCACCTGTCATCTCCCCAGACCCAGTGACTCCAGTGTTTCAGAGTTTATTTTTTAAGGGGAGGTCATTTTGGTCCCCTTAACACTCAGCAAGAGCCCTTGATTTGAAGCTGTAGACACTACCTTCAGCGAGAAAGCCCCATGGCATCGTCATGCTGGGAACCAGGAGAGCAAGGGGGCCTGGTTGCCCCATCCCAGCGTGGCAGGGGAGAGGCTGGGAGCTGTCAACTCCTGGCACGGCAGCCACGGCCTCGTCGCTAGCAGTGATTGCCATGTACTGATGCTTGGCCCATCTGAAGTCCTCCAAGAACTCCATCACTATTGTCCTTATTTCACCGAGAAGATTCGCACCTTGCCCACAGTAGGACGGTGAGTAGAGTGAGAGCCCGAAACACAGGATGCTCAGATTCTGAGCCCAGACTTCTGTTTCTCTGGCTATTGCCACCTCCTTCCAGAATTTGGCATTAAAAGGCCATGTTCCAGGTAAACGGTTAATGTTTTTTCCATGTTTATTTCATAATTATGACAACACATTTTATTCCTTTTATAATTTCATGGAATTTAGACAAATAAATGATAACCCTTAGTGTATAGCACATTAAAATCATTGGTCTATGTAGGCATCTGCTTTTATTTAATTAATTTAAGGTTATATGATGTCTGCTTGGGGACACCCAATTTAGGGATGAGGATGTTTACGATAGTTTGTAACTACTGAGTGATCCCACACTGATTCACCTCCCACCTCCAGTTGGACTTCAAGAGTAAACTCTATTATGAAATTCATATTTTTATGCTTCTTACCTTTTAAGAAGAATTTTATCTTACATATCATAAAATGTCTTAAATCTTCACATGTTTCTGAGGTATAAATACTGTCATATTGCATATGATTTTCCAGTGATGCACATATAAATACAGGTATAGTTCATAGTTTCGCTTTGGTAAAATATATAATTCTAACTGTAGTACAACTTATTTATCCATTCTCCTTTCAGTAGATATTTAGACTATTTCCAGGCTTTATTGTTTTAAGGAAATGGCAGTGTGAATATTCTTGTATTTCTTCTAGTGTGCATATATCTCCTTAGGTATAAATATGAGAAAAAATTTAAACTTCTTATCTTATTAAAATTAAGTGGTAGCTCATTGTGTTCTTGGTATGAATTTCCCTAATAGCTAAGAAGATAAAAACTTCCTCTTATTTTTATTGGCTTCATGCATTCGCTTTTAGGATAAATGTTATCTATTCCCCTGCTTCTTCTAAGCTGTCTTTTTTCTTATTAATTTGAAGGAATTCAACACATGGTCTGTAAGTCACCCTATGTTGGTTATTTTATTGCAAAATTGTTGTAGTTAGTATTGCTTTCTTTTCGTAGTTTTTGATAAACAGGTATGGTAGTTTAATTTGTCCATCATATTTTATGGTTAGTGATTGTTGTAGCTTATTTAAGACAGAGTATAAGATTGGATATGAATTCCATTGAAGTTTTTCTTCTTACATTTAAATCTTTAGTTCGTATAGAGTTATTCTTACATAAGCAATAAGGGAAGGGCACATTTTGCTTTTCCCCATCACCACTGAGTATAAATCCTAGATCTACTTATTGAGTAGTGTGTATTTTTCCCATTGAGCTATCATGATATCCTTGACCATGCTAATAGTCCTTTTATATAAGAGACTATTTGGGACTTTCTAGTCTCTTGCACTGGTAAATTTATCTGCCTCTTAATCTGTTCCATAAGTACTTAATTATTATAATTTTACTATAAGACTAGCTATGTTGTGGGAAGTCCCTATTTAATTTTTAAAAAGATATATATTGGTAATGCTTAGCTATTTGCTTTTTCCATATAATTGTAGAAAAAGAATGGCAAATTTCATAGAAAACAAAGCAGAGATTTTAATTAGAGTTACTATGAGTTTTGGGGACAGTTTATGAAAATTGACATCTTTCATATATCACTTTCTTCTACGTGAACATGGGCCATCTTTCCATTTGTTTGGAGCTTCTGTAATTTCTTTAAGTCAAATTTTATTCTTTATCAAGAGCTTATAACTATTTTGTTATGTATATGCATAGATACTTTATTATTTTATTGCTTAAATAAATGGTGTTATTTTAAATTATACTTTGTACAATTTTTCTGTTGTACTTGAGAAATGTACTTGACCTTATTTTTGTATATTTTGGTTTATATTATATCCAGATACTGACCCATACTAATACGGATCCATACTATTATTGCTGATCCATGTAATTATGTAATGATACCTGAACTTCGATATGGGATGGCGTTGTTGCAAGCAGTGGTTTAACCCACTACGCCACAACATCGGTCCCTATTTGACTGAATTGTCTGTAGAAATTTCTTTGTAGTAGGTTAGTGGGGCCCATCTCCCCCAGTATTTATTTAATTATAAATGTGTTTATTTTGACCTCTGATGGCTCCATTGGGAATACATCGTAAAAAGACAAGCATTGTAGTTAGTAAACCGGTTCAAACGCTTGCGCAGGCGCCCGGCAAAGGAAGCTGGCGGATGGCAGAGTTTGGCTGCAGTGGAGCTGGGGAGGAGTTTATCTGATCTCGACGCGGTTTCAAGGTGCAGCCAACAACAGTTCTTCTTCGGATTCAGGGTTTGAGAGAAGGGATGAACTTGACAGGGAATCAAGGGTCTTGGGTAACCTGAAAGATGGATTTGCTACTACTGAAGATGGGGGGGTCATTTGGAGGAACAGGTAGGATTTTGGTTTGGGACATCTTCATGCCATATTTACTAAGCAGAAACAGGAATGCTGCACGTGTGAGTGTGGCGTTAAAGAGAGCTCTGCGTTTTTCAGTCATACACATAGACGACATTTAAAGCAAGGAAACTGGATGAGGTCACCATGGAGAGAAAGGGGTGGAGAACTGAGTCTTGGGAGACTCCAGTGAGGAGAGGTAGAAAGAGGGTGGTGCTGGTGGTGGGGGATCAGCAAAGGATACAGAATCAGTAGCCAGTGGGATAGAGGGGGAAGAGAAGAGTAGCATGGTCCCAGAACCCAAGTGAAGGCACAGTACAGGGACAAAGTTTCAGTCATCGCTTTCTCAAGATACAGATGTAAAAGGTGTGTGGAAGACAGAAATGATCACTGATTTAATGTGGAAGAAATTATACTCAAGGGAATTGTACTCACATTAGAGAAAACTGTTACAAAGGGTTTTCATGCTGAAGGCAAGAGAAAGGATTTAGAATCTGGAAGGTAAGTACTACATGGGGTTGACAGCGTGGTAGCCACTGGACACAAGTAACCGCTCAGTAATTGAGATAGGAACAGTTTGAACTAAAATGTGATGGAAGTATAAAACAGACACAAGATTTCAAAAATTTTTATCAAACCAAAGTAAACTATCTCAATTATTTTTAAACTGATTATATGTTGAAATGATAACATTTTGGATCCATTACACTAAAAATATAAAAGATACCTACAATATTCATTGAAAATGGGTGTTATGGAAAAAATACGAAAATATTTCAAAATACATCATATCAAAGTAAGCTTGTATTTTTAAAATTTTTTATTTATTATATTTGAGAGATACACAGAGAGAAGGAGAGAGAGAGAGAGAGAGAGAGATAAATGTCCTACCTGCTGACCTGCTCCACAAGTGCCTGCACCAACAGGGGTAGGCCAGCCGAAGTTGGTAGCCAAGAACTCAGTCCAGGTCTTCCACATGGGTGACAGTGAGCCAGCTATTTGAAGTTATCACCTAATGCTTCCCAGGGGTGCATCAGCAGAACGTGGGTAGTTGGAAGCTGGAGCAAAGCCAGGACTCAACCCGCCACTCCAGTATGGCCTGTGGTGTTGCAAGTGATATCTTAGTTTCTACACTCTAAATTCCCAGCTCAAACTTATCGTACACATTTTGGAGTTCCTTCTTATATTATTAACATTAAGTTCTCCTTTTTAAGGTTTATTTTTAAATGTGTATAAGAGAAAATTTAAAGTTACATTGTGGTTTACTTTATATTTTTACTGAAATTCAAATACACTAGAAATATAAACACTTAATATGTAGGAGGTTGTGCATAAAAACATTCTCTGGGACCATAGTGGTACAGAAAGTTAATTTGCTACTTGGTACACCAAGAGCTTGGGTTCATTTCCCACCTACATTTACAAACCAACTTCTTAAAGCACACCCTGGGAGGCAGAAGATAATGACTCACATATTTGATCTCCATCACTGATGTGGGAGGCCCTTAGGGAGTTACAGGCTCCTGATTTTGGCTAATTCCAGCCCCAGATGTTGCAGGCGTTTGAGGAGTGAACCCCAAATGGGTGGAAGATGGATCTTTCTCCCCGCCACCTCCTCTCTCCTGCTCTGCCATTCAAATAAATAAAAATAAATAAAAAAACACAAACTGTAGAGCATATTAATTTGTAAATTATTGAAGATTATCAAATGGAAGCCTTCAGGATAGTGAAGGTATTTGAAGCAAAGCTGATAATTTAAAACCAGCCACGGTGGAAAGGGTCTCCTTTCAGACACTTGGAATGTTTGCTTCAAAGCTATGAGGAAGATTTGGATCATTTCCTCAAAGGTCTCACTAAAGTTAGTAGAATTTAAAAATAGGGTTAATTGCTATAGATTTCCATAGATATTGAGTCCATTTGAGTCCATGATTGCATAAATATGAAATAGCTAATAAGATGTCTGAATGTTTTGCATCTTTGATATTTTGAAATTAATTTTATTTCATGGTGCTTCAAGCATGAAATGAAAGCAATTTTCATGGAAAACTGCTTGATCTAGTTATTATCTGACCATTTGTATTCTCACACGATATTTGATGAATCGGTGTTAACGATACGGCTTCATCCTTTCCTGGTAATTACATAATTACTAGGGATGCAGGAATCCAGCTGTGTTTGGGTTTCACTGAACATCTTGAACTGTCATTCCAACATTTTGAGTAAAATTTTAAAAGAGCAATTTTATCAAAGATGGTTTAAAATGTTAAACACACATACTTTTCAGAAGAAATTTAATCCATTTACCATTCCCTCCTGAAAGCTTTTGTTAAGTGAGGACTCTGTGAAGTTCAAGAAGCCAGATGTGCCGTGTAACGAGCTCTGTCTCTACTCACTTCATTTCCCATCATCCAACAGTCATCTTTGCAGAACAAGCGCATTTTCAACCATTGGTCTTAACCCTAAAAGCTCTACAGTATTTCAGTTGTTTCTAATTGCGTTTAACACAAGTGTTTCCTTAGTATCGTGAAAGCATTTTGGTTGGTTATCACTGGCTAAAACACCTTCTGATTTTGTGTAATTACTCTTTCACCAACATTGAATTGTGATAATGTGCTTGCTAATTGGCTACATTGTAGACTGCTTTTAATTTACTAAAGTAGACAATCACAATAGCAAAGCCTAGCATACAGCAGGCACTTAATTAATATGTTTCAAAATAATCAATTAACTAATAATGTGTATTTGTTTTAAATTCCATTTGCGATGACTGCTTTATAGAGCAAAAACTGCACTAATCCCTTTTCAATACTTTCCTATTGCTCATGTCGATAATAAAATGTATTTATGTAAAATTAAAAAAATTCAGTAGCTCAGTTCTTAACTTGAATGAGACACTGATTAATATTTTACATTTATAGAAGTGTTACAAATAATAATCAGAATACTGTATAAACACATGTATAAAATATAATGTATAATACATTTGTAATAAATATACTTAATATTTATACTATACATAAACATGCATATATTATATACATATGATACCAAATATGCTTTTATTAGTGTATTAAATATTTTACTGCAATGTGTGTTATATATGTTATATAACTGTATATATATTCTTTTTTTATAAATTCTTATTTTTTTAATTTTTTTAAATTTTTTTGGCAGGCAGAGTGGACAGTGAGAGAGACAGAAAGGTCTTCCTTTGCCGTTGGTTCACCCTCCAATGGCCGCTGAGGCCGGCACACTGCGGCCAGCGCACCGCGCTGATCTGATGGCAGGAGCCAGGTGCTTCTCCTGGTCTCCCATGGGGTGCAGGGCCCAAGCACTTGGGCCATCCTCCACTGCACTCCCGGGCCACAGCAGAGAGCTGGCCTGGAAGAGGGGCAACCAGGACAGAATCCGGCGCCCCGACCGGGACTAGAACCTGGTGTGCCGGCACTGCAAGGCGGAGGATTAGCCTAGTGAGCCGCGGCGCTGGCCTTGTATATATATTCTGACACTATTTCATTTGCTTTTCACAGTGATACCATGAGAAAACCTGATTTTCTAGAGGAAATGCAGAAGGAGGACTGCTGCCTTGAGGTGGTAAATAATTTTTATATCAATAACATCTGTAGTCTACTTCAAGTTGAGGTATATATGTATATATTTTTATATATATTTATTTATATTTACAGGAAGAGTTACAGAGAGAGAAAGAGAGGGAGAGAAAGAGAGAGAGAGAGAATGTTCCATCTGCTGGTTCACTCCCCAAGTGGCCACAACACCTGGGGCTAGACCGGGCCAAAGCCAGGAGCCAGGAGCCAGGAACCAGGAGCTTCTTCCAGGGCTCCCACTTGGATGCAGGATCCCAAGCACTTGGGCCATCTTCCACTGCTTTCTCAGGCCATAGCAGGCAGTTGGATCAGAAGTGGAGCAGCTGGGACATAAACCAGTTCCCACATGGGGTGCTGACATCGCAGGAGGCAGCTTAACCTGCTAAGCCACAGTGCTGCCCCAAGATGAGGTATATTAATGCACAGCTTTGCTTGCTTCCTTTCACACAGTCAAGAATAGGCATTTTCTAGGCCTGATCTAGTTTTTGCAGGGAAATTGCTCAATAAAAGGGTACTTGAAAAAGTGTGTGCACAAACGGAATTAAAAGATGTTTAATTTGGAACTAAAACTTTTGAAATACATAGTTTTTTTTCATAATATGCACATTCTGTGACCCTGTAAAGACCCCTCATATGCACAGATTTCAACATTTCTTGCAATAGAATAAACTTACATTGTAATCACATTTTCAGTTAACCTTTTGAAGTATCCTTGTAGCAAGATTTATTAAGCACAAGGAGTAGGAGATGAAGGGTCCAGAGAAGTTTCTGGAAAACACTCACCTATTTCCCCCAGCACTGAGCATTCTCAGATCTTCGTCTTCCTTTAAAATCTCTGTCTAGTTTCTCCCAAATCACAAGATAATTTTGTTGGTGTAACAGGTGTCTGTGCTTCCATTACTTCACTCTAGAGTTAACAAGGAGATGGAGAGGAACTTTAAGGTCATACATAAACAAACTACAGTCATGTGTATCGTATTTTGTTTTGTTGGTGTCAAGGAGTACAAAATAATCAATTTGCAGGTACTCCATATATTTTTTTTTACCCAACTTCAGCTATCTTAAGGACTGTCAATGAACTCCCAGATTGGTGTCCATATTACCAGAAATTTCAGCTGATGGATCTGATTATAAGGTCACATTCATGGAGGGTAGATATTCATAGAAAAAGAATTCCTCATTTTCCTTCAGAGTCTGTGAATTATATCCTTAAGTGTGCACTCACAGTCCCAATTTCTCTTAATCGAACTTTCGCTCCAATTCATGAAAAGATTCATTACAACACATTTCTTTCTGTGGAAAGTGTGCTCAGAGACATAGACCTGGCATACCTTTTCTTAAATAAAAGGGTGAACAAGTGGGGAGTGAATGTGGATGGGTGCAGTGACTCTGTATTCGTTGTGGGACTGTGAAACTCATCTCTTTCTGAAAATTGCTAGAACCCCGGCTTGTGTACAACCATGTGCATTTTATGTACATGTGTGTAGCGTGTAGCAAGGCCTGGAGTCACGAACAAATGGTTCAGGGATGTGAGCCGTTTCTGCCAGCACCTGGCCTCGTTTTCTGTGTACATAGTACAACAGATACTGCTGATCTATTTGACATCTCTGCCTAAAACTGAGATTCTGTTAATTTACTCCAGATTACCTGCTGGAGACAGAGAAACTGGCTATTCTGTTACTTCGGTAAGATCTGAATTCAGAGGACTTCCATAGCAGGTCAATTACATCTTGTTTTGTCTTGGCAACAGTTCAGGACTCCTCTCTCAAGCTTTGCTAGAGTGTAAGCAATGACTTGTTTCTGCTAAGGGTTCCTCCACAACTTGGAAGGGAGCTGGCACCTCTTTCCCAGCCACCTTAACCTTTCCTTGGGCAAAACACTCACATAGGAATTAAACATTCATCACTGGCCACACACACACCAATCATGCTGTTTTGCTTTTTTAAAATTCACTCTTCCCTGGGCTTTTACTTTTTTCTTTTGTTTTGTTTTGTTTTCAGTTGGGAACTGCCCAACCCCACTTTGCTAAGCTGAAACTAACCTTTCCACTCGGCAAAAAGGGCATCTTTGCCTAAGCAGATGGTGATGTGCACTGGTGTGTGCAATTTATTTCCATGTCACTGAGCATTACAGACTTTGCAGAAGCAGTTTCAAATATATTTTAAAATAAAATATGATGCATTGGGTTATGGTCTGTGTGGATTATTTTAAAGGCAGGTGTGCCCCTCTCTTCTTGCTTTAAGAGCTAACGGTAGGTAAGCAACCCAAGTCGTACTTGCAAAGTCATGATTCACCATTTGGGAAGGGATAGGGGCTAAAATTTAGCTTCACCAGCATAACAGCTTCAATCAACTTCCAACCATGTCGCTGACATCAATCAGTGAAATAGAAAGGCATGGTGACAGAACCTTCTCCTAAGAAAACGTTCGTTACCCATCACATCATATGATATATTAGAAAAGAAATTGTCAAAAGCTTCACCAGATGAAATCAACATCTGAGATTTCTGGGCCTGTCTCTGCCATTACTCAGACACTTAATTTCTCTGGACTTTAGTTCTAGCACATAAAATACAGGGTTCATTTATATTAGCACTTCGGAGAATAAACTTCTCAAAAACTCTCTCTTCAAGATCCACAGTGAAGAATTCCATGATCAAATAAGTTCAGAAAGCATAAACACTGTCACATTAAGGAGTTCATGGATAATTTTACAAAAGTCCAGCAGCAGAGAAAACATACAATGCTGTTTAATTCTGTGTTTCTAAATTTTCTTTGACCATGAAATATTTTACCTATTAAATGCTGAGATATAGCTTGATGATAACTTTTAAAATAATTCCTAAAAGCCCATCCATCTAAACCTTAAGGGCATTTACATTTTGCTGAGTAATATTTATTGGCCGTTGGTTCACCCTCCAATGGCCGCCGCGGCCGGCGCGTTGCGGCCAGCGCACCGCGCTGATCCGACGGCAGGAGCCAGGAGCCAGGTGCTTTTCCTGGTCTCCCATGGGGTGCAGGGCCCAAGCACCTGGGCCATCCTCCACTGCACTCCCTGGCCACAGCAGAGGGCTGGCCTGGAAGAGGGGCAACCGGGACAGAATCCGGCGCCCCGACCGGGACTAGAACCCGGTGTGCCGGCGCCGCTAGGCGGAGGATTAGCCTAGTGAGCCGCGGCGCCGGCCGATGATAACTTTTAAAATAATTCCTAAAAGCCCATCCATCTAAACCTTAAGGGCATTTACATTTTGCTGAGTAATATTTATTGTATACTCGAACTGTTGAATTAATATAATCTATTTTATGATTTTAGTTTTACTGCCTAATGTATTACATATCCCATATCTCATAAAGGAGTGGAAAGTAGCCCTGATATAATTAGCAAAATCTGGTCTTCAGATTTTATGACAGTGTTCCTTGTCTTCATGATATATATTTTTAATCTCTTTGAGTTTTCAGTTAACGTACTATTTTAAACTCACATAACTCACAACCACTGTGTTTACAGTCAGTTTTATTATTCCACCCTTAAACATCAAAAGAACTTGAAATCCAGTAAATACCTGTCAAAGTTAGAACTCAAAGTGCAAATTCACTGCTTTCTGGATTGAGTTACTGGACTTTTTTTATTTGAAATTCAGAGTTACAGAGAGAGAGGGAGAGACAGAGATCTTCTGTCCATTGGTTTTCTCCCCAAATGGCCAAAACTGCTGGGGCTGGGCCAGGATGAAGCCAGGAGCCAGGAACTCCATCTGGGTCTCCCATGTGGGTCACAGGGGCCCAAGAACTTGAGCCATCTTCCACTGCTTTCCCAGACCATCAGCAGGGAGTTGGATAGGAAGTGGAGCAGCTGGGACAGGAACCTGTGCCCATATGGGACTCTGGTGTTGCAGGTGGCAGGTTTACCTGCTAAGCCACTGCATTGCTTTTTATACCATGATTACCAGAATCCAAACATTTAAAAACAAAGTAATAGATATCTTTTACTGATAGTTTCAGACAAACCAATGTGATGCTTGGGTTCATGGACATTTAGAGTTGAGATGGTAAGGTGTGGGGGGTATGAGGAGCTGAGGACATATTGTGTTATAACTGGTAATTCCTATAGATATATGGCAAAAAGAATATTTGGAACCCAAATGATACCAGATGCCATATGAATTTGTCACCTTGAATTGATTCTTTGATTCTGGCAATAATTTGGCAGCTTCCACACTGTGGATGCCATATGTTGGTGGTCTCACTGCTGTGTGCCAAGTCAGCTTCATAATTGGTTCATGCTATGGGAAGTAGCCTCACCACATTCTTTATTTCTCATACTATTGGAGCCTCCTTACCCTACTGTGTGCCGTGTCTCTGGAGATTGCCACCCAATTATTCTGCAATGGAGAATGAACGCACAGAGAATATCAAAGGTACTTTTCATACATGTTTCAGAAAATACGTGTTTCAGAAAATACCCACTTAAGAGACAAAGATTGCCTAATCTATGAGTATTCTTTAATGTTATGCTAATTCTAAATTTCCCTGTGGAATCACAATATAAAGATCTAACTTTTGCTGAATACTTCCATGTCCTGGGTAAAGCACTAATCACTTCCTGTGCATTTTCTTGTCTTAATTTTTAAGACGTGATGGGATTGCTTTACAAATAAGGAATATGAGGCTCAAGTCATTCACAGTAGGAAATCAACTCTCTACTCTGTGCTACAAAGCTCTACCATCTCTTATTTGCCTTGTTGTGGTTTATCTTCAGAACAGGAAGCTTTGTAGCTACTCCAATAAGACCAAATACATTTTTCAGTCATCTGACTGTTATTGGTTGAAGATTCTCCATGCTGAACATTCAGCTCACAAAATAATAACATCATCATCAACAAATAAATATTTACATAAATATTTAAGAATATGGAAGCTTTTATTAGCTAAAAAGCCAGTGTTTTTTTTTTTTTTTGACAGGCAGAGTGGACAGTGAGAGAGAGAGACAGAGAGAAAGGTCTTCCTTCCATTGGTTCACTCCCCAAGTGGCCGCTTCGGCTGGCGTGTTGCAGCCAGCGCACTGCGCCGATCCGAAGCCAGGAGCCAGGTGCTTCCTCCTGGTCTCCCATGGGGTGCAGGGCCCAAGCACTTGGGCCATCCTTCACTGCCTTCTCGGGCCACAGCAGAGAGCTGGACTGGAAGAGGAGCGACTGGGACAGAATCCGGTGCCCCAACCGGGACTAGAACCCGGGGTGCCAGTGCCGCAGGTGGAGGACTAGCCTATTGAGCCATGATGCCGGCCTAAAAAGCCAGTATTAACTCAAGTAAATGAAACTATAAAACTTCCTTTTCTCCTTTATCGAATGCATGATGAGAGGTATATACAAATTAAAATGCTCTAGTAAGTCTATTGATTCTGCTTATCAACATTACACTTACAGTTTAGCCTTAATTGTTTAAATGAGTCTATGAATAGATTTAGACAGATGGCTTATTCTTCCTCTGAATGTCAATATTTTCCTGGTACAAGTTGACATGAGTGTATAACCACAGGTGCCAAGTAGGAATTTTCTCATATATTATGGTTAA